TATATATATATGAACATATATTCATATACATCACATTATATTATCAAATTTCTTTAGTTGATGTGTATTACTGACAGACACTTAGGGCTCGTTCGCTTCGCGGATTTAAATTTTTAATTTAAATTGAGATGTGATATTTTCTGAGAGTTTTTAACTATTATATATATATATATATGAACATATATTCATATACATCACATTATATTATCAAATTTCTTTAGTTGATGTGTATTACTGACAGACACTTAGGGCTCGTTCGCTTCGCGGATTTAAATTTTTAATTTAAATTGAGATGTGATATTTTCTGAGAGTTTTTAACTATAATAAAAAAAATTAGATGTGATATTTTTTAAGAATTTTTAACTATAAAAATTTAAAACTAAAAACTTAAATAGTAAAATTAACTAGACTTTAATCTTCGACTCATCATCCGTGTATGTATTTGCTTTTAGTTTGATTATTACGTGTTTCACTTTTGTTTGAGTAATATATTTTGCTTTTTTTTTTTCCGTTTTTTCTTGTGTTAAAGTTCGTGTCCTTGAAACTAACAATTTTCTTTTTGTTCGATTTCTATGAGTTGGGAAGGGACAAAAGAGGGTTGATGTATAAAAGAATTACTTATTAAATATTTGCAACCTGCTACAATATTCATCTACGCATGTATATCAGTATTTTTATTAAACAGAGGAACAAAAATAACTTTAGAAAATGTTTGAATTTAGTTTTTAAATATTGGTAATCCTTAAATGAAGGGATATTTTTGTCAAAAACATATATTACTCCATTATATTCCAATGATTAATCAAACATAATAATTGTAATTTCAATACTCAACCAAAGAATGAAATTAAAACAAATCATTTAATCTGTTTCTATTTCCATTTTATTATATTCTCATTTCTATTCATATTCATCTTTGCATTTCATTTCATATCAAACCAACGTACCCCAATATAAAAATGATTGTATGGTCTCTTAGCACTTTTTTTCTCCTCATTTTTT